TCATTGGCCCGTTCTTTTTCGAAGATGAAGCTGGCGAAACGGTTACCGTCAATCAGGAGCGTTATCGTGATATGATAAGTGATTTTTTGATGCCAATTGTTCATGATAATGGTATGGAGCACTTCTGGTTTCAACAAGATGGCGCTCCACCACACACAGCTCGAGCCACTATCAATTTTTTGAAACAATTGTTCCCTGGACGTTTGATGTCAAAAAATGGTGATTTTGAATGGCCACCGCGTTCACCAGATTTAACGGCTCCAGACTTCTTTCTGTGGGGCTATTTGAAATCAAAGGTTTATGTCAACAAGCCAAGGACCCTAGACGAACTTAAGACCAACATCCGACAGGAAATAGCCGCCATATCGGCCGAAACATTGTTCAAAACGATGGAAAACGCTGCAAAACGGGCACTACTCGCCATGCAGGCTCAAGGCGATCATTTAAGAGATATCATATTCAACAAATAATGTACACAAATCTCCTTGAACCATATTAAATGGCTTTTACAATAAAAAGCAAAAAATGTGTTTTTTTCCCATGATTAACAAAAAAACATCTTTCCGTCGAATATGGCCAACCCTGTACTTGATTTTTTGACACAAAATTGTCTCGAGTTACGATTAGGTAAATGTCGATTCTGTTACGACAAAATAGAATTCTTAGATTATGTTATATGTTTTCGAAAGAAGACATACACCCGAGCGATTACGGAATTAATACGGTAAAGAATTTTCCGATTCCGAAGAATATATAATACATCGGTCAATAAGTCCCCGGTAACAAGTGTTACATAAAAATTCGAATTTATTCATCAATATAGTTTCCTTTTAAGGCAATACAATCAGTCCAACGCCTTTCCAAACGTTCGATGCCGGTTTTGTAGAACGATTTTGGCTGACCCTCAAAATACGCATCAGTTTCGGCGATGACCTCCTCATCCGATCGAAATTTCTTCCCAGCGAGCATTTTTTTGAGCTCAGCGAATAGGAAATAGTCGCTGGGGGCCAAATCTGGCGAATACGGTGGGTGCGGGAGCAGCTGGAAGCCCAACTCGTTCAATTTAACCATCGTTGCCATCGACTTGTGACACGGTGCATTGTCCTGGTGAAAAATGATTTTTTTCTTCGCCATATGGGGTCGGTTTTCGACGATTTCGGCCTTTAAACGCGTCAGTAGTGCCATGTAATATTCGCTATTGATGCGCCCACCCTTTTCGAGGTAGTCAATGAAAAGGATACCATGGGCATCCCAAAATACAGATGCCATAACCTTGCCGGCCGACGTTTGAGTTTTTGGTCGCTTGGGGCGGCTTTCACCGGCTGCAGTCCACTCAGCTGACTGCCGATTCGACTCGGGTGTGAAGTGGTGAATCCATGTTTCGTCCATGGTCACATACCGACGCAAAAAATCTTTCCGATCCTTCTGAAACATGGCCAAACAGCTCTCGGAATCATCGACGCGTTGTTGTTTTTGATCCACAGTGAGCAAACGCGGCACCCACTTCGAACACAGCTTCCGCATCGACAAATGATCGTGTAAAATGGTAAAAACACTTCCCTTGGATATCTTTACGATGTCAGCAATATCATCCAGCTTTAATTTACGGTCGGACAAAACCAATTTATGGACCTGCTTGATTTTTTCGGGGACAACTGCCTCATTTGGGCGACCAGAGCGGTGTGCATCGTCGGTGTCCGTACGACCGCGTTTAAAATCAGCATACCAGTCGATAATTGTTGATTTGCCTGGGGCAGAGGTGCCATAATGTTTGTCCAACCACTGTTTTGCCTCAACGGTGTTTTTTCCCATCAAAAAGCAGTGTTTAATGAGCACACGAAATTCCTTTTTTTCCATTGTTATGAAAATAACCAAATTAGCGTCACTAAAGCTTCAATAACTCACACAATAATGATCCGAATGACATATACATTTGACAGTACGCCTAAAAGGGTCTGTTCTTTCGAACCACTATGTACTTTTTGTGTTAGTGGGGCTCTCTATGTGTCAGACCGGGAACTTATTGACCGATGTGTTACAAAGTTTTCTCGGTTTGAGTTCTTACTTAAAAAAATTTATTGAAAATTTCGCGGTTTCTGGTCCCCATGTGCATTATTGAAAAAAGAAGTAACATTCGAATTTGGACAGCAACAATTAAACGCTTTCGAGATCTTCAAAAGAAAATTAACTGAGGTTCCTATTATCGATTTTTAATCCTGAAAATTCGACAAAACTACAATTGCGACGTAAGCTCGCACTTTTTGGCGCGATGATTTTGCAGCGAAAGGCAAATCATTATCACTAGGTCTTTTATCTTTCGAAAAGAACGTCAGATATGGGGGCTACCCCATATACCACAGTTACAAGTCAAAGATCTTTAGAGCGATTATTTACGCATTAAAACAGTTTCGGATCTGCAAGGAATATAAGGAACCATTCAAAATTGTCACAGATTGCAACGCGCTCATAATGACTTAAAAAAAACAAGTTATAAATCCACGAATTGCACGGTAGGCCCTAGAGCTTCAGAACTTCAATTACAGTACCGAACATAGACAAGAGATTGCCACATATCGATGCCTTGAATAGGGTACACAATATTTTAGTCATCGAAGAGGACACTTTCGAATTTAATTTGTCAGGATGTCAAACGTAGGACTCTAAAATTCAAGAATTAAAATCCCGACTCGAGAAGGAACAAGATGGTCTATTCGAAATGCGTAACAGATTCGTGTACCGGAAAAGGGGAGATAAACTTTTGTTTTATGTGCCTAGCGCAATGAAACAAGAAATAATGTACAAATATTATAATAAGTTTGGGCACTTCGGTGTAGACAAAACTCACGCAGTATTGCAAAAAAATTATTGGTTTCCAAATATGAAAGAGAAAATTCAGATTTACATACGAAATTGCATCAAGGGCATCTTCTTTTCAAAACTTTCGGGTAAGACGAAAGAATTTGTTCATAGTATTCCGAAAGGAACCGTTTGAGGTCCACATAAACCATTTTGGCTCTGTTAATCGTACAGATACTGTAAAAAAACATGTACTCGTTATTATAGATGCGTTTATGAAATATGTAAGGTTGTATGCGGTCAAATCGACGACAACGCGTGAAACAATAGGATGCCTTAAAGATTATTTCCTAAGTTATAGTCAGCCAAGAATTTTAATTTTTGATTGGGGTACGAGTTTTATCTCAAGAGAGTTTGACGAATTTATGTTCCTCATGGGCGTTAACCACATAAAAATAGCTGCCGGATCTTCTCAAGCCAATGAGCAGGTAGAAAGATATAACTGCGTTTAGCCCCTATCTTAGGAAGATTATATATGGGAAAAGATTGACATACATTTCTAAATGAAATCAAATTCGCCATAAATAACACCGTAAATCGGACGACTGGTAAAACACCCAGCCAGTTGCTATGTGGCGTTAATTAGCGAATTCATGTTTTCAACGCGTTAAAAAATTATATATATACTAGTAGATCAGAACGAAACGGAAGACCGAAATTTAGAAGAAGTTAGAGAGAAAGTGTTGGAGAAGATCAAAAAAGCGCAAGAAATTAGTGGAAAATACATCAACCGTAAACGTAAACTTGCGCGCAAATGCAGAGGGTGAGGTCTAGCTGTAGTAAAGAATTTCGATGCCACGGGAAAAAAGTTAGCACCCGCCTATCAAAGTAACCCGCCATATCGAGTAATCAAGCGATTAAAAAGAAATAGATATGTATTAGCTGATGTAGACGATAGAAGTGTCGCAAAGGCCGTATAAAGATACATGGCTTTAAATATAAAACCTTGGTTAAACTCCGAGTCGGTCGAACGAAGCGATTACTCCGCCACGAGTTCCGACAATGAAAACGAAGACAGCATGTAATAAAGATCTGCAATTTTAACTTTAGTTCGCGACTCTAGTCGATGTATTTCTGATAAACTATAACACAAGAGTATTAGCGTTTTAGTTTTCATGTATTTGCTTTAGCCTAATCTGGAGAGGCATTATTATTTTGTTTACGTATTTTAATTAATTAAATATTATACGTAGGCTGCTGGAAAAGTTTCTGCAAACAATATGAAAAAAAAACATGTATAATTCGATAAACGGCTTTATTGTTTTTCGAAGTAAATGGCTTTATTGTTTTTCGCCTTTAAGATCGATACATTTTTGCATACGCTCGAACCAATTTTCGAAGCATTTTTTCCACTCTAGGGCTGTAACCTCAGAAATCAGTGTACGAAATGTTTCAACAGCTGCTTCAGGCGACTCAAATCGCTCATCACGCATCTTATTTTTAATGTTTTGGAACAAAAAGAAGTCATTAGGTGATAAATCAGATAAATACGGACAATGAGTCAATTCGACATTATTACTGGATAAAAAATCAACGGTTTGACGTGCTGTGTGACAGCTGGCGTTGTCATGATAAAGGATGATGCAACGATTTTGTTCTACGCAATTTATTTATGACTTCTAGCAAACAAATTGTTGTATATCAATCAGTATTTATTGCACAGTCCTTCGATCCTCTAAAGTCACGGTTGTCACATGTCCGGTATAACCGAAGAAACAAGCGATCATTTGCTTGGCAGCACTGCGTAAACGAACAACTTTTGTTGGTTTCGATTGATTTTGAAATACCCAAACAGTGGATTGTTTACTTTCGGGCTCATACGAATAGATTCATGTTTCCCCAGAAATGATGTAGACCAACTTTGACCGACCTCGGTTGAATTTCTTGAACATTTCTTTGCTCCATTTAACACGAGTCTGTTTTTGAGCTTCGGTCAAATTGTGTAGGGTCCAACGACTGCAAAGTTTCCGTACGCTCAAGTGATCATGCAAAATCGTATGTATTGCTTTCATGTCAATGCCTAAGGATGCCTGAATCTCGCGGTATGTTATATACCGGTCTCGCTCAATCATTTCACACATAGCATTAACATTAGTGGCAATAACAGACGTGGATGGACGACTTTCACGGAATTTATCACTAAGAAAGAACGTTAAAGCTGAAATTCGGCAAACCAATTATAAACAATCCTATTGGATGGTGCTTTATCCCCAAAAGCCAAATGAAATCGATCGATATATTGTTTCGGAGGTAGATTACATTTGTAATCGTAAAAAATCATTGCCCGGAAATTTTCATGCGAAATTTCCATTTTCTTACAAAATAACTTCTTTTAAAATACTATGCAAATAAAACTAGTTGGCTTGGGTACAAACTGTCAATTGAATTATAGGTCAATTGAATATTAGATTGCAGAAACTTTGCAGAGATTTTGCACTAGATTGCAGAAGGTGGTCCATCCATGTTTGTTGTTGCCACTAATGTTAATGCTTTGCGTGAAATGATTGAGCGAGAGCAGTATATAACATACCGCGAGATTCAGGCATCCTTAGGCATTGACATGAAAGCAATACATACGATTTTGCATGATCACTTGAGCGTACGGAAACTTTGCAGTCGTTGGATCCCACACAATT